TAAGAAATTATTTTGCCGTTTTTATGTTGTTGTAAGGATGAGATAATCCTTTGCTGCACAAATCTATTTCAACCTGCTTTTCAACCTGCCACTAGATGGTCATTATCCAACATTGTCATTGGTATGCATGCCAATGTGGCTTTAGAGCCAATGTATGAGTTCCTTTTACAACAGGAAAAGGCTTTTATTTGTATGCAAGGAAGAGTGGTAATTCTTTAAAATCTAAAGAAATGGAATTCAGAATCTTAGTACTTTTTTTTCTTTTTACATGGTTCAATGTGCAGATTCTTGCTAAGAAAATTGTTGACAACTTGCCTAGATGCGAGACGATATAATGCTGAATAATGCTGAGGACTCATTAAAAAAGCTCATACAAGAGAGTAGACGTGAGCTCAACATAGAAGGAGGTTATGTGAGTTGGTTCACTTTATCTTTCCATTGTCCTTCAACTATCTGTAACAAAGAGTCATGAATTTGATGTTGACTTAGTCAGTACATTTAAAGATGCTTAGCAGTTTAGCTTCGGCTTGATAGCACTGATGATCCGGAACCGCAAATTCATCATTGCCGCATAGTGGAAGGGCGAGACTCTGTGAAAATCGAATTCACAGATCAACCAAATGCTTGTCTAAATCAGAATATTGGAAATTGCTCGTCAACGTCCTCAGTTGGAAACCCATTGATGAAGTCTGTTGCCATAGAGGTATGTTTCTATCTGTCCATAACTGAATAGATTTTTAGTTTTCAGTTCGCTCTCATATATTAATTATTGTTTTTAGTTCTATTTCACCTTGAGTTTTTCCTACTATTCGCACTCCTAAATCAGTGTTTTATGGGTTGATGTTCTGTCTCTGCTATCATGAGAAACTGCGAAGTCATCAAATGAAACTATAATTCATGTCAGCAATCAAATTTGCGAGCGAGGCCCGGCTTTTCCTTCTTGTCAGAGCCACGTTCATCGCAACTCAAAATCGTTTGTACAAAAAGGGCAAGGCTCTACAAACAACTTTTTCTGCATATGCTAGTTCTTAACTGATCTTCACGTCGTTCGGTCGGCCTTGCTCTGCAGATGAGCCGGGCACACTGTTAATGTTGATTAAATTTATACTCTGAAAGCAACGTATAACTTTCGCACCTACTTGTGAAGCGTTAGGTACAGCGGTTTGTAGATCTAAGCAGTATGAGGAGCAGTTTTAGAGGACTGCGGCAACAGATGAGACAGCAAAACAAATTTGCTTGGTAATGTAGCATATCAAATGACATCTGTCTGAGAACTCAAAAATCATTCAACAGGCTCTGTATGTATTAAATTTATTGATAACTCAAAAGAAGAATGCTCCATTAGTTTGGAAATTATGAGTAAATTCATAGTACAATCTTTAAAACTTGCTGAAGCGTAAAACTTAGATACCTCTTCTGGAACGTTTAATTCCATCTTCTGTGCCTGTCCATCGCGGTGTTGTTTCTCAGTTCCAACGGATATCAGTCCGTTTAAAGACACTCATGCGCATATTAGTTTGATCAAATCTTGCAAATCCACTCCACTTACATGCATTTCCTCAATTTTATACAATGGAAATTTCCTTCATTTTCACTAGTTTTATTGCTTTGTTTCTTGCTGTTTGGGATTTTTATGAATCGATAACTCACTTTGGGACTCTTCAAGCAGAAGATTCAGTCGTTGTTTGAACAAATTTTGTGTTGTAAACCCATTCTATTTTCATTTAGTTTACTGGATCTGTATACAAATTTCCAAGCTTGTCGCTTTTCACATGATTCTCCTATTTTGAGACAATAGAAGCATACCAGGAGGACTTCTTCGACTTGTTATCACGAATGCAGTCCGCTCGGCTGGATGAACAACGGTGTGACGTCAGCGCTCTCAAGCTAAATCCGATTGTTAGCATGGGAAGACGCCAAACGGACAGCTTAATTACGACCACGACTGGTAAGTAATAGTAATAATGTGATACTTTTTGAAACGATGGAAGTTACGCAAAACGATGGGAATAACAAGTATGAATGCTTATGAAACTGAAAAGTAATTGCCTTTAGCACCTCTGCTGCCATATCTTGTAGTATTATTCGATAATTCGTAGGATCGAATTGTAAATACTATGCGAGTGAATTTGTTTACGCCTCGTGGTCATTGCCACGCCTTTTCATTTGCGGACGCAGCGTGCTCTGGCTCTAACGTTAGCAGAGCAAGTACCATTTGATTTGTATGCTGTATCTGTCAGGAAAATGTTCAAATATCCTATTTGGTTTATCGGGCCTCATAGTTTATTCTTATCTTTTGATTTTGCTCAAAAATGCGCTTAACAGCAGCTGGGAACCGTTTTTTTCTCCTTCTTTGAATGAGTTTTTTTAAAAGGAAAATCAGCCACTAGCCATTGTTGGTGCAATCGCTTCACTTATGGGTAGAATCCGCAAATTATGCCACTTTCAATTTAATGAGTATAAAAGCATATTGTCTCCTAATCTTATTTTCACATAACTTCATCTCCCGCTAGAAATCACTGCTCTATCTTTCCTCTGTCAGTCATAGCTTCTGCATATCATACAGCAGCTCTACTAAGGCATTGAAAAGTAATATGTTTTGCATATCTCTGTATCTTCTTTTTTGTGCCCATCCCCTGCTGCGACAAGGCGGCGAGTTTCATAAGGGAGTCCACTTTCTTTTTTTCTTAGCATGATGATTTAAATAGGCG